ATGGGCACCAGGCATGTACATAGTACCCACACAAACATGTATGCACAATACTCATACACATAAATAAATCTACAAATAAAAAAAGGTGAAGTATAGTAAGGGGACTGTTTCACAGAGTAGTAGGCTTGTGTCCAGTAAATGCAGACCTGCCCAGTAAATGCAATGAGGAGCAAGCATGCAGGCATCTGGAAGAGAGGGGCCCCAAAACAGAAATCCATGAGTGCCCTGAAGTGGGACTGTGAAGAGAGCCTGAAGGGCCAATGGCTGAAACAAGGAGAGTGGGTTCGGAAATGAGGTCTGAGGAGCTGGGAGGCAGGTCACACAGGGCCACATGGCTTTTTCACTGACAGGGGAGCCACTGAGGTTAAACCAAAGGGACATGAGTCAGACCTGCGCTGGCACTGAAAGATGCACTCTGGCTGCTCTGTAGGAGACAGGGGGCAGGGATCAAGGGGGAACAGGTGAGAGGCACTCCACCCTTCTTCCTTTTATCTTATCTTTGCAAAACTGGCTTCCACCACCTCCTGCAGGGATGAGCTGAGCGAGCTGCACAGAAAGCCTTAGAAGTTTCCCTGTGTTCATGCAGGGAGCTGGAGATTGCCTTGGTGAGATTTCTGCGATTAAACAAGTGCTGTGTCTGGTATCCCACCAGACCTTGCCCCTGAAGAGTTCCTCAACAACAGTTGCCCTCTCAGGAAGTTCTGGAAAGACCTCAGGAACTTACTAGCTACATGGTTGAAACAAAAGAGGAAGGAGGAGGTAGAAAAATCTTGATGCAATCATTTAACCTGGAGAAGAGAGAGTTAAAAAAAAAATCTACAATTATTTTTCCATGAGTTATTTGTAAGGATCTCTCTCTACTAAAGAACTGGGTGGAAGGTCTCAATTGGACCTAATATGGAGGGTATGAGTGTGGTAGGAAGGACTCAGGTGGCCGTGATCACTGGAAGTAGTCTAAAGAGATTAGAAACAGCCACCCAAGGCCCCTAGCATATAGATGGTATTGAGAATGTTAAAGAAATATTGTGAAGAACAAGGAACATTTCTGTCAGGAGACAAGGGGGTGACCAGGAACCTCTTAATCCAAAGAGTGAACAAGAGTGGAAAAGTCGCCAAGCAGCCACTAGGCTGCAGAGAAGGGGAGAGGGTACTCATGCCCAAAGCAGGACCTGGACCTCCAGGCCAGCCCTTGGAGGACCTCCTCCTCTCTTCCTGGGCCTGCCTATCCAGACACCTTGTTTGGGCTTACTTTTAGTCTCAGGACACAAGCCCAAGCTCCAAACATGTTGGCCCATTAGCCAAATTAGAGTCCTCCACAGCCCTGCTTCTACTCTTTGTCCATCTCCAGGCTGGTTTGGGCTTAGTCATACTCTGCCCTGAGCCACATCTGGAAGATTTCACTCTGGTGTTCTTGCTGCTGAGAAGCCCCTCACCCTTGGGCCCTTCCACAGCTCCAGGTCCACACCCCTTTCATTTGGCAGCTTCCTTGGCTCATATTTCTAGACAAGAGTCACTTCCTCCAGGAGTCTTCCTTGAATCTCTTCTCCATGGTGCTTTCAGATGTCTATCATGGCTCTCAACACCCTCTTAAAGTCTGAAATGCCCTGGGTAATACATCTGTCCCCAGGACTCCCCAAGTTATACTCCTTACTCAGGCTACACCCTCCTCTGCATCAGCCTCATCTGTCTTGAGCTGTCTGTGCCTGTGGCCTCCCACAAACCAACACAGAAAGGGTATCCACAGGCTGCATTGCCAAGGGAAGCCCTGTTCCCTTGAGCCCATAGGTGCTCAAGAGAACACCAGGAGATGGGAGAGACACTGTCACCTATCAGAGTACAGCTTGGAGAAAGGGTGTACTCAAAATCTACCCAAAGAGACCTAAGGAAGACCCAGCATTGAGGTTCAGCACAGTGCAGCCCATTCACAGACTTTCTGAAGAACAGGCTTCCCTGGGAGTTCTAAGGGTCCTGCTGGGAGAGCACTTATTGTTAGTATTCAGGAATCTGTGCTGGTCTGCCCTTGGGATCCTGACAGCGGAATATGTCCTCAGCTGAAACCACTAAGAGCACTGCCTGTACATATTTACCATGTTCCCTTTTTAAAGTGCCCTGCCCATATATCTTTCTCTCTCTTTCCCTCTCCCTCCTTTTCTGCTTCTCTGCCTCCCTGTCCCCAGAGGCCAGTCTTCCCCCTCCCCTCTCTCCTTTTCTCATTCCCTTTCCCCTAATTAAAAAAACAATCCTCCATGTGAGCTCTACAGCACAGTACCTTTCTTTCTCATGATGCTTTTTAAATTACAATACTTAACCCTCTCTGGCACTCTGGCCCTTAAATATCATCGCCTGTGTGACACTTTCTGGTGTTTCCAAGCTCTCTCCCAAGACTGGAAATCATCTCACTTCCCCTGGACAGCCATTACTCTGGTTTGTAGCTCCCAATGGCACTCATCTGTCTATTTGGCCACTAAGTCATTGAGATACAGACATAACCATCTACACCAAAATCTCCCCAAAGACTCGTCTAATTCCTTTTGTATCAGGGTCCCCATTGTCTAGCACAGACTGGGCAATCAGACAACAGCAATTTGTTGGTTCATCCCATCACCCTTTACTCAACAACCACTAAAAGGCAAACATACAGAAATGATATCATGATGAATCCAGCCAGGGCTTCTGGGCTATTTGTTGAAATGATGAACAGATGGGGGTGTGGATGGGTGGATAGAGGAGTGGTTGGCAGGTAACAGTCAAAAACATTTCTCAGAAGCCCAGTGTGGTGGTGCATGCCTTTAATCCCAGTACTCAGCAGGCAGAGGCAGGCAGATCTCTAAGTTTGAGGCCAGCCTGGGTTACATGGGTTACAGAGTGAGTTCCAGTATAGCCAGGGCTCCTGCCTTTATTTATCTGGCGTCTTTGAATCATCAAGTGTCAAATCCAAGACTCTGGAAGCAATGATGGGAGGTCAAGTGAGCCTGGGCCCTGGGCATCCTAGCCACACTCCTGTCCTCAGATGCTTCTCGTCATGCATAGGGTTCACTCCCAACCTTAACATGCCAAAGCTCTTAATAGATGCCCATGGTTCTTCTTCCCCTTGACCTCGCCTTTCCCTGGCTAAACTACTGACTACTCAGAACAGACCACGTTAACATTTTCTCTCCTTCCAACCTTCCTTCCTTCCTTCCTTTTTTCTTTCTCTGGTTTTGTTGTTGTTACTTGTTTGCTGTGTGCTGGGTTTATTGATTGATTGGTTTTTGAAACCAATCTTTCCATGTAGCCCTGATGGGCCTGGAACCTTCAGCACTGCTCTGTCTCAGCTTCCTCATCATAGAGATTACAGTATATACCACCACTCCACCTTGTTTTTCCTCTTTTATGAAAGACAGGAGTCTTCTATCAACAAAATACAAAGACTCTGGCAGCCAGGCCTCTTCACACAGCCACATTGGCTCTAAGACACACTTTCATGCATCTCATCTGTAGCAGCCTCAGTGGACTAGATCATTAACGGCCCTTGCAGAGGCCAGGCAGACCTAGAGCCCCATGGGCTGGCCAATGCCACACTCCTCCTAAGCAGAAGCATGAGAAGGGCAGCCTGCGGTCTTCCGGTAGCAGAGTCAAGAGCTTTGCCCTCACTCTCAACCCTTAACTCCTCTACCCCACCCTAGAAACTCAAAATAGAGCTGAGTGGGCATTTTCCCAGGGGTAGGGTACAATGGGGGAAGAAATGGAAGCCACTTAACAGGCTCAAAGTCTACAAATGCTTCCTGCTCTGACCCAACACACATGACACATAGGGCAGCAAGCCCAGGACAGACAATGGAGAGATCAGGGCTGGGCTCCAAAAAGATCTCTCTTAGCCAGGAACCTCTCCCAAGAACACAACTCCAGATTAATGCTCTCTGATCTATCCCAGGGGGAGAGAAACCCCATATGGCCTCAGGGTTTGCTTGAGGGCCCCACAGGTAAATCCAGACATAGGCAAAAACCTTTCTACATCCACACACACACACACACACACACACACACACACACACACACACACACACACTGCACCATCAGGCCAGAGTTCAAGGAAACAGATGACACTTACCATGGGAAGGATTGGTTCAGGCTGCAAACAGAAGCTGTGTAGTCTGTCTGTTTTTAGGAAGTGGGTGGTAAAAAGTGTTCCAGGCCCCAAACTGAAACATGTTGTTATCAAAGGCCAAATCAAGCCCTCTCCCCCTACAGCACTGCACCAAACAGACTCTCCAGGGACACCCTAATCAAGAAGTGATCCCCCTCCTTGCTCCAGAAGGTCTGCCTGTCTCTACCATCTCCGCCCCCCCTTCTCAGGGACAGCAGCCCAGACTGAAGTCTAGTTAGCCCAAGGAGGTTGAGAAGTCAGCAAAGCCTTCCAACTCTGAAAGTGCCTGCTCCCCTCTATCCAACATTCATGAACTTGTTGGTTCTCAGAACAATTTCCTGAAAGCCTCTCGGGTCCATTGACATCCCAAGCATAGAACTACATAGCACAGGAAGGCCTCTGCTGGGGCTGTAGCTCAGAGACCACACAAGGCATTTGCAGGGCCTTGGGTTGGATCCCAGACACCAGCAAATAAGAACTAAAGAGTTCTTGCTAGACAATGAATCCATGGTATGCCCTAAGTTTCATGTTCTGTATACAGTAAAGGTACTAGACTATCGGATCCCCTGTATACCTCCAGACTCAGACTGTTCCTCCAGGCTTATCCCAGGTTCCACACTGAGATATCCTATCCCAGGTCATCCTAAAACAAGCATCTTTCATAAAATTAGGGGTTTTGTGAACATGTTCTCCTGCCCTCTAAGCAGCCTTTGAGTCAGTATCCTGCATCTCTGCCAGCAGTATTTTCCATGCCTTGTAAATGAGAACCTGAGAAAGAAACCTCGATCTATACAGACAGATCCTTGGACCTTTACCTAAATTATTTAAGGCTTCTAGAGCCTTCTCCATAGGACACAACACCAAATACTCGGAATGAATGACAAAAGCATTTTATTGGGGATGAAACAGAGATGAGCAGGGTTGAAGGGGACACCAAGCAGTCTTTGTTTGAACCTTGCAGAGCCCATTGCTGCCAGGTGGTAGAGAATGAGCATAATTGTAGCAGATGGATGTCCAGGATCTGGTAGAAGGTGGTGTGACTGAAGGGCCGCATGTGACCTGATAGTTTTGAAGAAGGAGCTCCTGATGATCTTCATCCCCTCTGTCCATTGGGGTGAAATCAGACACCCCTCCCATTGCAGGGGGTCACAAGGCCCAAATTGAAAAGAAGCTACCCAGCTTCAAAAGAGCAGAAGCCACGCCACAGCCAAGAAGATCATCCTGTAACTGAGAGACCGGGGCAGAGGGGAGGAGACTCTGACACGATGGACGCCGGGAAGGAGAGTGGAGATGAAGGAAGCACAGAGACACCAACAATGGCTGACCCTGCCGGACTCAGGGCCATCAGGACCCCATCTCTTCTATCGCTGGGACCTCTTGGTCACGGTGGTGGTACCAGTGATCTTGGTACCAGAACTGCCATAGACACCACCACCAAACCCAAAGCCACTTCCAGAACCGGAACCAGAACCAAAACCACTACCCAGGCCAAGGCCGATGCCAGCACTCCCGCCAATGCTGGCACTGCCACCAACGACCGCTGGAAGAAGAAACAAAGTTCACAGTTATTCTCAGTTCCAGCACTCCCTGACTCAGACCCAGAGGAATAGATGGCATGGTGGGAAAAGTACTTACAGATGCTCACAGCACTCTGGCATTCTCCAGACATCCTGTTAGGGAGAGAGAACCATGAGCCAGGCAGAATAGAACCCCACCTCCTTCAGCATGAAGATACCATATGCTTATCTCAGCCTTGAGCAGCCACACAGTAACAGCAGAATGTCAACCTATGCTCTGATGGTCCTGGTCAGAAAGTACCAGAACAGCACCGAGTCAAGAAGTCCTGAGTCCCAAACCCAAGCCTCCCTTACCTGCACTCCTCGCCCTCCAGCAGCTTGCGGTAAGTGGCAATCTCTATATCCAGGGCCAGCTTGACATTCATGAGAGCCTGGTAGTCACGCAGCAGCCGGGCCAGGTCCTCCTTGGCCTTCTGCAGGGCGCCCTCCAGCTCTGTACGTTTGCTGTGGGCATCTTGGAGAGCCGTCTCTCCACGCTGCTCTGCATCAGCCACGGATGTCTGCAGAGTCTGGCACTGTGGGCAGGGACATTGATGAGCAACATCAGTTCCCTACTTTTAAAAACTTCATACCTATTTCTCCTCCTGAGCCAGCCTCCCTTGGTTAAGATGTTAGAATTTTGGTCATTCTTCTCCCCACATTTCCAGACTCAAGAGTCCCATTCCTAACTGCCTTTAATCCCAGCACTCAGGAGGCAGAGGCAGGTGGATCTCTGAGTTAGAGGCTATCCTGGTCTACAGAGCAAGTCCCAGGGCAGGCAGGGTTACATAGAGAAACCCTGTCTCAGGAAAAAAAAAAAAAAAGAATCCCATTCCTTCCAGACAGAATACATCCATGTAGGTATATAGCAAGACCACTGAGTTCACCTGTAACCTCACCAGACCAACAAGGTAAAGATATACAAAAGCCAGGGAAGACTAGCCAGGAGCCCTGTGTTTGGGATATCAATCAAACTAAACAAGACATGTTGAGGAGATATGTGTGGTTGGTATCATAAGGGATAAAGGCCTTATAGACAAGCATAGCATCTCATAGCCTAGTGCTTTATCTGTTTGTTCCCCCATAAAGGCACCCACACCCACCTGCTTCTTGATGTTCTCAATCTCTGCCCGCAGCCTCTGGATCATCCTGTTGAGTTCTGAGATCTCATTCTTGGTGCTCTTCAGGTTATCTCCATGTTGGTCAGCTGAGATCTGGAGCTGCTGGACCTGATACCCAAGGGAACAGGGCCTTAAGATTGCATAGCAGACCCAGTGAGGGAAACCACAGATGGAAAGGTAATACCAAATACATGAGATCCCAGGTCAAATAAGGATCAATGGTACCTAGAGGATCCACTCATCTCATACACCTACCTTCGTCTGGTACCAGGACTCGACCTCAGCCTTACTCCTCTGGGCAATCTCCTCATATTGGGCTCGGACCTCTGCGATGATGCCGTCCAGGTCCAGATTCCGGTTGTTATCCATGGACAGCACCACAGATGTGTCTGAGACATGTGTCTGCATCTGGGACAGCTCCTACAAGATCCATGTCTCACATCAGACCCCAGTAGAGCTAGCCTTCCCTGACCTCTGACACCATCCTCCCATTTCCATGGAAATGACTGTGAAATGGGTTTAAAGGAAGAAGAGTTAATAGTCCCCATGTGTAGGGAGAAGGAAGAGAGAGAAATTAACAGTTGGTGTCATCTCTGAACAGAAAAACAATGGTTCTAGTCCCTATTGATCCCTAAAACATGAATGTTCTATGTATAATGAGGCAGAGGTTCTATATGTTGGGTGGAAGGCAATCTAATGGAAACATGATGGGTAGCAGTGACTTCTCCCCCATGCAACCTCCAGCTATAAATCCTCTTCTAGGACATCTGGTCCTGAGAAACTCTCCACTGATTCTCTAGATTCACTCTAGTCTTTTCTCTCTATGACCTTGCCAAGAACCCACTGCCTTGATATAAATTGTTGGAATTTATTAAGAACCATGACTTCTAACCCACAGCCTTATAGATAGGGGTTTCCCTCCTCTAAACGGAGGATGGAGACCTCACCGCTTCATAGAGGACCCTCAAGAAGTTGATCTCGTCCTTAAGGCTGTCCACCTTGGCCTCTAAATCCACCTTGATCATGTAGGCAGCATCCACATCCTATGGAGGTAGAAGAGGAGAAAAAGGAGGAGGATGAAGAGGGGGAAAGAGGTAAGGGCCACTAAAGTCATCAGAATACACAAAGTTCACTGTCTAGATAGATTTTCTTCACACACTTACTTCCTTTTAAATCTCACCCCATTACCCACTCTCTTTGATACCACAATCCCAGACAGAGCCAAGAAAGATAAGGATAGGCAGAGATGGGCTAAACACATGACTTAATCCAAGGGCCACTTCCAACAAGGGGGAATGCTACAAGCTCTTCCTGCATCCTTCCCGGCTTACTTTCTTGAGGACCACAAAGTCATTCTCTGCAGCTGTGCGCTTGTTGATCTCGTCTTCATACCTGGGGGTAGGGACAGGAAGACAGAGGGCCACCATGAGCAATTTTTCCAAGGTACACTGCTTGTTCCCAAACATCTAAGAGTTTGGAAACGTCCAGATCACGAGCAGCACTCAAGTGTACTACCCATGAGGCTAACGCCTTGGCCCTGTTTATTCAGGGACATAAAAACAAGCATGGAAAGAGTATTGGGGGACAAGATGTGAGGGAAACTTCAGCTCAGTGGTCAGATTAGATCATTGGAAAGATTATCCTGATGCTAAATTCTAGGCAAACACTCCAGTTCTCTTTTCTCCATGTGCTCGTTTCTTCAGCCCCATCTTACAGAGAGCAAAAGTAAAGCTACTGTGTATTGCTTGTCCACTATGTGTTCTACTTGCTCTGTTCCCACTCCCTATTCCATTCAATTCTCACAAGCCATAAGGTAAGAATACTACCCTATTAAAGACTAAAAAAGCAAAAGCCCAGAGATTTTAAGAAACTCACCTAAGGTCACATACAAACACACACACACACACACACACACACACACACACACACACACAAATCAGTATTGAGTTGACTCCATCTCTTTCCAATCTATATACTAATCTGTGTTCCAATCTATGACCAGGCTTATACTGCTATTGATCCATTTTATTTCTGAACTTCTTTGTGCCCAGAAAACCCAGGGACCTAAATTGATCACTGATTAAGTCAACTGGTGGTTACTTGGCCTCTGCCTGTGAAAATGTCACCATTTGGATATAAAAGTTGGCTTAGAGGAACTTTCAACCAGCTTTGAATTCCCCGAGCCTGAAGTCCCAGACCACTGAAGAGGAGCCTAGATGTGGGCCAGCCCTCCATCTCTCCACGTACTTGGTCTTGAAGTCCTCCACACTGTCCTGCATGAGCTTCAGCTCTGACTGTAGGCGCCCTTTGTCATTGGTCAAAGAGTCCAGATGCTTCCTCAGGGCATTGATATAAGTCTCAAAGAAAGGATCCAGGCTTCTGGGGGATGTGGTGGTTGTCTGCTGCTGGAGCAGGTTCCATTTGGTCTCTAGAACCTTGTTCTGTTGCTCTAAAAATCGCACCTGTGTGAAAAAAGACACAAGCCACTAGTAAAGGCCAGAAGCTTCAGCGGAAGGGTATCTAAGGCCAGCACCAGCCTAGGTAGTCCAGGCAGCCAAACCACCTAAGAGTCACCTAAGTTGGGCCACCACATTGCAAGCCCAGGACACCATCATGACAAGCATGCTACTGGTCCCATCATTGCCTGAGGAACACACAGCTTGGAGAACACAGTGTAGGGCTGATGGCGTGGCAGGTACAGCTTTCTAGCCACAGCAGACCAAGGTCCAGGTTGCTGGGCTACAGAACAGAAATGTCTGATTTGAAACAATTAAATCAAGTAAGACCAAGAGGTACAAGCAAGGTGGCAGTTGCTGACATTCAAGGGACCCTGACCCACAGTGAAGAACAGACACATTTACTGAAGACTTTGAAAATAAGCTAAGTGTTGTGGTGTGCCTGTGTGAGCCAGCACTCAGGAGGCTACGGCAGGAGGACAATGAGTTTGAAGCCAACATGATCTACACGGGAAACCCTCGTCTTCTCAGTCTGTACCAACTAAGTCCTCACATGTTCTGAGATTCAGGTAGAATCCACCCTGGCAAGGATGCCCTAGGGCCTTCCCCTCTCTAGAGCACCTAGCCAGGCCAACCAGAGGAGTGGCCTAGCAGAGCTGCTCCATGTTACACACAATTAATGAGAGTCCCCGCTTCTAAACCCAAAGGGTGAGATGAAAAGAAGATGGAGGCAAGAAAGCACCAAGAGCTCTCCATCTGTCGCTTGAGTCTGTATTCCTGGGGTGACAGTAAAACCTCTACCAGCTACTGTAGGCTTATTCAAGCCAGTGGGAAGAGCAAGTTTACCCCACATTTTCTTCAAGGTGGTTCACACTTGCCTCAAGCACCTAAAGGAACCAACACCTTGATGCACAGCCACCTAGAACAGCATGGGCAGGAACACCACACTGGTCCCTAGCTGTAGATCTTTGAGTAACTAGACTCCATGATGCAGGGCCACAATTGAACCTACACAACAGGATCTCCAGATCTTTCATGAAACCAGAAGCTGGGCTAGAAAAAGCAAAGAGCATCCCCTCAGTGCTTCAAGAAGTTTCAGAAATGAGAAGTTTTACCCGGAGACAGAAGTGGGTATGAGATGACCTCCTGGCTAAGCCTCAGGGCCCAGGCCTCACTCCCACCACCCTCTGCACATGTCAGGCTCACTCGCCTTGTCAATGAAGGAAGCAAATTTGTTGTTGAGGGTCTTGATCTGCTCACGCTCTTCTGTGCGAACTCTCTGTATCTCTGGGTCAATCTCCACCTGAAGAGGTGTCAGCAGGCTCTGGTTGATGGTAACTTCCTGAATACCTCCAGCAGGACAGACAGGGAAGCCAGGTCCACCTCGACCATTGAAGGAGCCTCCGAAGCCGCCGCCAAAGCCACCAGCACCAAACCCGGCACCGAAGCCTCCGGCACCAAAGCCTCCCACACCGAAGCCTCCGGCTCCACCATAGCCACCGCCTTGGCAGGACCCAGCCACGCTCATGGAGATACTCTTGTGACCCCCGAGATTGTAGAGACTCCTGCTGCCGAAGCCTCCAGAGGAGCATCGGCCTGCACCCCCAGACATGGAGGCCGAGCTGAAGGCCACCCGCTTGACACCACTGGCAATGGCTGAACCACTGCTAAAGCCCCGGGAGGCTCCGCGGACACTTTGCTGTCTGGCAATCATGGCTGAGAGAGAAGGCAGCTGTGATGAGCGTAGAAGAGAAGGGCCAGGTGGTGAATGCCAGAGCCCTTGGCCCTTGTAGCTTATATGGGCTGGAGCAGCAGGGCTTGGTTTCAGGGGCATAAAGGGAAAAATCCGAAACATCCCTGGGCTGGGCCTTTGGCACAGGCCCATCTTTCTTGCACCTGCTGAGCATGTCACTAAACACACCTACAGAAGTCACTGGGAGGGCACGGCTTACGGTCTCATCCCCTCCCTGAGCCAGTGCCCTAGGGCCTGCTGCATCATGGCCCACCCGGCTCAGCCTTGCAGAGTCCCACTGCCCTCCCACCTTCCTGGCCAGCCTCATGGGGCTCCTGCTCCAGACACATAGCCCTGTCACCCCTAGTTTTATGCCACAGACTCTGGAACCTAAGAAAACTGGGTTCCAGGGCACAGCCTGCCACTGACAGGCTACACGCCCTGACCCGAGCAAGCAGCTCTTTGAGCCCAGCCTCAGTACTCATAAGAAAGAAAGAATACAAATATTTACCTTTCCTCTGAAGACAAGTGAGATCGTGATCATGGATGCGTACCCTATGAACTGTCACAGCGGCTCTCAGACTTTATATCTGTCATTCTTATCCTCCGTGTGTTCTTGGCCCTGTGTTCACTTAGGAATCAAGGCTCTTCTCTTACAATTCCAACCTTTCCAAGAAAGACCCAAAGGAGCTTTTCTCTGGGATTTCACCATGAGGCCTGCAGACACCATTGGGCTCACTGAGCTTCCCCAGAACATAGCACATTTGGTTTTTCCAATGTGATCCAGAATTCTGGAAAGACGGTCCTTACATTCTCCATGCTGGGAACTGCTTTGACTGAATGGTGATAATTCAGTGCCCCTCCTCCCAAACATGTATAAGATGCAAAATCCTAGTTTTACTCCTAGAACTTAGGTTCCTCCTAACTGACCTATATCAGACTCTACCCAATTCTCAGTAAGTAGCTGTGCAGCCCTAGGGTGGTCACCTGACCCTCTGAACCCAGATAACTCATTTGTAAAACAAGACATGTGTCTGTGCATAGTTGATAAGACAAGGTGCCCAGTAAGTAGGAGGCCAAGAGGCCTCATCCTGCCCAGGCACTCAGAAATCCAATGCATCTGTGTCCTCTCCTCCATCCATCACTGAGGAAATGACCTAGATATAAGAAGGAGCCACCAGCAACCTAGATAACCCTCCAGGCTTAAACCACCATATGTCAAAGAAACATGTTCCCCAAAAGCTTCCCTGATACACAAAGAACCCAGGGTAGCCGCTGGGGCAGAGGGTGAGCATGGTTCAGGCCTTAGGGATGGAGCTACAGAGAAGACCAGGCTGGCCAGCAGTCCTCCCGGCTCTCCTCTCTCCTCTGCCCTGCCACTGGCTAGCTTGTCACAGTAAACATACTCTGAGGTTAGGAGGGCTGGAGTCAGACAGGGAGGGCTGGAGCCCAGATGTGTACAGAAAGCTGGAGCCAGTGAGCATGGCAGAGCAGACAGGTGCTTCCTTTCCCTTTGCCCCCAGTGTTTGCTGGAAACCAGTTTTGAGCCAGGCTCCGTGATAAAGTGACTATGGGACACTGACATCCAGACCCTTGTATGTCCACCCTAGTCTGGGAGTAAGTGTGGCTTGGCAGGAAGGTGACAACTCCAGATCTCAAGGGCCACCTGAGAACCACCTTCTTTCCACACTTCTCTCCACACACATCCCCACATCTCACCTCTATCCTCTAAAAGCGCTAAGCCATTGATGGGGATTTGCCAGATAAAAACCCTAGGGGACTCATGACATGCCCCTAGGTCTTGTGTGTGGGACTATAATACTCCAAACTTGGGAGAAAATGACACAAGTCAAGTACTGAACAAAAAGAAGCCAGAGCCTGGCAGTGGTGGCACACGCCTTTAATCCCAACACCCAGGAAGCAGAGGCAAGCGAATCTCTCTAAATTCAAGGGCAGCCTGGTCTACAGAGAGAGTTCCAGGACATCCAAGGTTGACAGAGAAACCCTGTCTCAAAAAGAAAAGAAAAAAAGCCAAGACTAGATGGGATTTTCAGAGAAATGACACCTAATACACAAACATCCTCATTTTGTGCCTGGGGTCATCCAAACCATGAAGCCATGACTGAAGATTTCCCTGATGGTTCCTTGAACCATATGGCCATCCCTTCAGTCAAAGAGCAGAAGAGGGAAACCCAGTGCATTCTGCGAAGAAGCAACTAATTCTCTTAGAATGTCTGTAGTATGCTGAACTCCAGGAGCTTTTCTTCTTGGGACTGTTTCATTCTTCCAAGCCATTTTAGCAAAGAGATGTTGAAGGCTCAGAAAGGTTTCTCTCCTGAGATCCAGCAACTCAAAAACAATGGGCATAAGAAGCCAGAGCTATAGGCTTGACCTCAAAGCTCATGACCTTTCTGCACACTGTTTTATATGGGTGTCTCAGCCACCCACAGTTGATGGCCCACCAGAACAGCAGCAGGGACTTGGGAAAATGCTGCTTGCTCCAGCTCAGCTCCTTTCTTTCCCTACTCTGTATGATTGGTGGCTTGGTTTGTGTGGCCCTATCCCAACAGTCATGATATGGACCTCAAAGGCCAATCTTGTACCTTCTAATTAACTAACTCCAAATTAATGTAATTGTAACTCCTGTGGTAAACTCAGACCAAACAAGAAGAATGTTTTGATCTCAACATATAGCCTGTGAGTTTGTTAAATTAGAATTGCCAAGACGTCCCAGAATCCTCAACCCATAGATAAGAAACTGCAGGTAGACACAAGCAAGAATGTCCCAAGTGAGATTGTTTAGTCCTGGTGGTAAAAGAGTCAAAGAGAAGTTATTTCCCTCTTACACCGGGCACTGGCAAAGACAAGCACCCACCAGGAGGTGACAACTAAACCAGTCCCACACTCCCACTACAGCCCTGTGCACACACAGCATTTGCTTTGGCTACTGTCCTTGGTGACCCTGCTTCCTTTGGCCACCTGCCCAAGCCTGGCTGTGAGCAGTAAGCCAGGTGCTGTCAGGCATGGAACAGGAGTGGGAGGGCGTGTTCCTTCCCAGCTTTCTGAGTGCAGGAGGCGAAGCCTTCCCATTCAACCTGGGATTACAGATCCTGAGGCCTCTGTCACTGTCAGCCCCAACCTGGGGAGCAGTGTGGGAAAGTATCTTGTCTTCCCTGGTCAGGTGGGTGCCCTGACCCCACTGGGTCACTTAATCTCAATTGCCCCATGGCCTGAGTCACTCTGAGGGATCAGAGGCCAGTGTTTCAGGAGGCCCCAGGGAGCTGGGAGGAAGGTAGGGCTCTTCCAGCCAGGGCCAGAAAGGGTTATGGATCAGCTCTCTCAGTCTCCTGCCCCTGGCAGGTGCCAGCAGGGGCTCCCAACCCTTCCCACAGCCAAACACTCTTGCTGAAACGTTCAGACAACAGGGACAGAAGCCGGGCTATGGCACACCAGCCCTGCCCTTGCAGCTAGCTGGCCTTCTCTCCCCACCTGCTGAAGCCCCCCGCTAGGAGTGCCTCATGGGAAGGATCCTGGTGTAAAAAGCCACCTCTGAGCTTGATGACAAACTGGGTAAAACTATATTGTTCAGCTTCTGGGCCCAAAATGCACCTTTAATGGAGCTGCTTTTGACTCTGCCAATAACTTATTTTGGCTTTCAGGTGTGGGTGTTCCCTCCAGACTCTCACCAACAGCAGCAGCAGCAGACTTTCTCTCCTATGAAATAACAGTTTGGACTGACTGCCTATCAATTTCTTCTTCTCTGTGGGTGGCATAATGAGGGGCTTGGGCTTCGGGGCAATGTTCTTTTGGGTTCTACATCCAGCACTGTGGCCCTAAAAAGTTACTTAACCACTCTGCCTTATTTTCCTCATCTGGAAGTGGGGCTGTCAGAGAGGTTAGCCTCTCAGAGACTCCAAGCACCTAGTCTCTCCTTAAAAGTCTAGAAGCAGCTGAGGAGCCCCCAGAGGAAGAGCTCAGTGGTGTCAGGCTGTGGGGGTGTTGATTGCCAAGTCCAGGTGCTGCGTCCCTGGCTGGTTCAGAATCTCTGCTTGTATCCCCCGACCTGGCACCAATCTTCCTAAGTCCTCTGGGGAGCACAGCTAAGAGCATAGGCTCCTGCCCAGAGCACCCAGCTGCATTCAGGCAGGAGGGGAGGGCTCTGACTGAGCACAGGCTGTGGGGCAAGATGGAACCAAGAAGAAATAGCTGGACCTCCACCCGTCACATGTCAGTGGGGTTCTCGCTGGGGTGGGGAGGTGCAGGGAGCTGAGGAGGAAATGAGGTGACCTAGGAAATAGGAAGTAGGGAGGGTGGAAGAAACTTCAGTAGGAAAGGAACAAGGCTTGGAAAGCCCTAGCCACCACTCGCCTGTCCTTACAGGGGACATGAGAGCTAACTCCTAGGAGATTCCATTGGCCTGAGTTAGAAAATGGAGAGCCCTGTGTTCCTGTTGACTCCTGAAGCAAATTAATATATCTATAAAGCACATAATCCAATTAAATGTGTGTTTGTACTGGTGGCTAGATGAGGGGAGCTAGGGAAGAAATCACTGGAGGTGTGTGTAGAGAATTCAGAGGTCTGGGGAGGGGAAGTGAAGGGACCTGGAAGGGGGGAGGGGGCTCCCTAAGTCACGTTGTCCCCTCACAGCAGAACTTTCTACAAAGAAACTAGGCTCAGAGATCAGAATTCTGTCCAAGTTCCCAAAGCTAATAGTGGCAAAAGGAGAGAGCTAACCAAAGCCTGCCTGGTTCTGAAGGCAGGGATGTAGGAGTCTGCCCATGGTACTAGGCTAGCACCTGGGACATCCCAGCTCCCCAGGGAGAAAACTGGAGTCACAGGCAGCTTGCTGTAGTTGCTGTTTATTGAGACACGTCACAGGCACAGAGAGGGGCTAGGACCTTGTGAGGTGACCAAGGGGCTCTGGTAAGAAACTGAGGTTAGAGGTCTCTAGGAACCACCACTGCCTCCTCTCTCCTCCTCCAGCTTGCCATGAACTCAGAGCAGATCTGCTATGGTGAAATGGACATCCTACCTCCTCTA